AACAGGTATGCTCTCCATCATAGACTAGTACCTTGCCAGAGCACCTTGCTTTTTATATTTGATACACATGTCGAATGAATTGTGCCTTGTATGTTTCATATACATGTTAGATGAGATCTCTGGCTTGTATGTTTGATATACACAGCGAATGAACTGAAGCTCACTTCTTTCGAGTGGTTTCGCTTCGTCTTTTGACCTGTAACCGTCCTCTTATGGCGGCACTCGTCAGATGAATTGAAGCTGACTATCAAGTGGTTTTGCTTCTTCTACATGATGAGGGTGCTTCTTTGGTAGGTTTGCTTCTTCTAAGAGAGCAATTCTTTCGTGGGTTTGCTTTTTTGGGAGAGCAATTCTTTTGGGCCTGTAACCATTCTCTTACCCTCAGATGCAAGAGACACAGTGCAGGTTTTTGATTTGTAACCGTCCTCTGTCTTTAGATGCAAGAGACTTGTAACCTCCCTAATAATAGGCTTCTTAGCTTGTAACTTGTAACTCGTTTTTACTGCAATAAAAAGAGTTAGAATTTGTTTGGACTATCTTGCGTACTTTTGCGTTGAGTCATTTTACTTTGAATATGTATCACATATAGTATTTCTTTAGGTATTGCCTATTGATAGGGGGCATTGCCTCCTCTCTATCAGGATGTGCTAATATGTAAGCTCCATTTGGTGAGACCTTTTTTACTATAAAAGGACCTTCCCACTTGAGTTCAAACTGCCCTTTACGATGTCCATGCATAACAATCGGCCTCTTGACGGCTAGAACTAGATCGCTATGAGTGAATGAGCGGACCTTGACTGACTTGTCAAAGACCCTCTTCATTCTCTGTTGGTTGAGTTCAAGGTTCTATTGAGCCTCTAGTCTCTTTTCATCAAGTGCATCCAATTCTCGATACCGGAGCTTGACTCTCTCATCTTCGATTATTCCTTGGTGAATAGCGACTCATAGTGAAGGGATTTGAATTTTGAGAGGTAAAACTGCTTCACCCCATAGACCAGAGAATAAGGACTGGAATCAGTAGCATTTTGTACAGTTGTGCGATAGGCCCATAACGCTTCGAGAAGCCTCTCATGCCAGTTCTTTTTCGTCTTTGATACCGATTTTCGTAAAACGTTGCACAGAGTCTTATTGAAAGCCTCAACTAATCCATTCGCCCGAGGGTAGTACATAGTTGAATACTTCCATTCAAAACCAAACTGGTTGACCAAATGATTACTATGGTGGCTTCTAAATTGGGGACCATTGTCAGATATAATCCGGTCAGGGACCTCAAACCGATATATAATGTGATGTCGAACGAAGTTAGCCAGTGTTGTCCCAGGAACTTGCTTAAGGGAGACTGCTTTAACCCACTTAGAAAAGTAATCTCTTGCAGCTAGAATGAAAACATGACCCATTACCGAAGGAGGGTCAATAAGCCCTACAATGTCCATTCCCCATTGTGAGAAGGGCCATGATGTCACTGTAGGGTGTAAGGCTCTGGAGGTTGGTGAACAAGGCTTGAGTGTATTTGGCACACTTGGCACTTTTTAGCATAGTTTAAGGAATCGGCTATCATGGAAGGCCAATAGTATCCCAACCTGCGTATTGGTTCATAGAGCTTAGGACCGGACTGGTGTAGTCCACAAGTGCCTGAGTGGACTTCTTCTAACACCTTATTTGCTTATTGGATGTCCACACATCTAAGAAGGATACCATCAAACGACCGTCTGAAGAGAGCATCTCCTTCAAGGAGGGTATACTTGGTAGACATTCGACATATGCTGTTGCATTCAGCACGATCTTCCGAGAGCCTGCCATATTTTAGGAAACTAGTGATGTGCTCCCTCCAATCTTCTACCCGTTCAATTCTTGTGCATATTTCTTGATTTCGACCCTTAGCTCGTTGACTCCGTACCATTTCTTGTTCAATCTTAATTACTTCCTTAGCTAATATAAGCGCTCCAAATGGATAAGGAGGACACCCCGAGTGACTCATCTAGAGCAGTCATGTATAGGATAAGGGGTTTTCCCAACACGGGTGTAGAGAACACTAGAGAGTTGAGAAAATATTGTTTGATGTCATCAAGAGCTGCCTGATATGCTTCATCCCAAATGAATGGGGTATCCTTCTTTGACAGTTATATGAAGGGTTTTCTGCGACCTAAAAGATTTGAAATGGCGAATGTACGCCAGCTGCCCTTGAAGGGAGCACAGTTCTCGAAATGTAATCGGTGACTACATTTCTTAGATTGCTTTGATCTTAACTGGCTCAACCTCAAGCCCTCAATGTCAAAGACCATTTACCTTGGATACAAGGTGATCACAATGTGACCATTTACCTTGGATACAAGGTGATCACAATTAATCGTGACCATTGGATGTGAAATTTTGTGGCTACATTTATTCTATCGACAAAGTTTAAGGTTCAAAAGAACTTTGTGACATACCCATTGTTAGGTTTATGTGCCATTAAATGCCTTATGAGAGCTTGTATCCCCGATGCATCACATGATATATACATACGAGAGATTACCCTTATGCACTATAGAACAGTTATTACACCATGGTCTGGGTGACTATAAATTCGTCTCTAGGGAAAAACCTGCAGCCCATAGACTGGTATTGTGTCCCCTGACCTATTGGCTGACTTTGATAGGCCAATCATGAATCCCTGTAGTAGTATGTGGGTCATGGGAACCATTGGGTCAGTTTGAAAAAGCTAGTGTAAATCATAGTCTACAGTTCAATTTGGAGTGCTCTAGCATATTCATGATTCCTAGACTTATAAGGATCTGATTCCCATCAAAATTATTTAATTTTAATTATTTTGATATGATATAATTTTTAGATTGATTATTTGGAATTTTATGGTTCTCTGGACACTTTATTTTATCATTTCAATTTATATAATAAGAGAATTATTATTATGTTTTTTAAATAATCAAAGAAAAATACTTATTTCCAAACATTTAAAATTAAATTTATTAATTATATAAAATATTAAATATATGAAGGTCCTACCATGGGATATAGGCCATCTAAATTTAATCTCACTAAAGATGGCTAATCCTAAAGAAACTCTAGCCCATAGTAGTAGATTCCCCTCTCCCCTTCAATCTATCCACATCTCTCATCTCTCTACTATCTCTCTCTCTCCATAAGGGACACATCCCACCTTGGGCAACCTTCTCTCCTTTCAAGGGGGAGGGGGGAGGGGGGGGCTCATTTTTTATTGTGATTTGTTTTTTTGTTTTTTGTTTTTTTTTTTATTCCCATAAAGAATGTATCAAATTTTATTTATTGAATAAAAGAGTTGTATTCAGTAGCAGCAAGTGATAACTGTTATATTGTTCTTTTACATATTTCAAAGTGATTTTTTATTGTACTTGGACCATTGTAAGTGATCTAGTCGGTAAAATAAAAAATCAAATATTAAAATTATGTACATATGGTAGACAACCTAATCCAACTTTCACCCTTGCTATCAAATTTCGTATTAGATGGTTATAAATAATTGTGACCTACAAAATTTATGTGGTATACAATTCTTTAAAAAATCCTCCCAGGAAAGCCCTTTCCCTTTCTACTAGCGTGCAACCAATTAGGGGTGGCAACAGGCCAAGGCTAGGCGGGGCCGCCCATGGACTTAGGATGGCCCTAATCCCTAAATGGGTCAAACAGGGATTTGGCATAACCCTATCTAGGCTGGGCCACATAAAATAAAAAATAAAAAATAAAAAAATAAAAAAAAATAAAAAATAGTGGAAAAGAGGGTCGAGCCAAGCTAAGCTGAATCAGGCTAGCCTTGGCTCTAGCCCTGCCTTGAATTCGGGCTACATTTCGTGGCTGGGCCACCGGACCCAATGCCACCCCTAACATCATGGCCTTAAAAGAGAGAAACAAGATCACGCCTAGCATCATGGCATATCTCCCTACCCCACCTTGGAAGCTCTTGGACGCGAAACCATTCTTGTCGAAAAGGAAATTTTCATTGGTTGTCCACTCCACCCGCCCCACCCCTTTTCTCGCTTTTCGCCCTCTGAATCTCGCTATCGCTATCTACTGAAACGATGAATGAAGACCTAGGAATGAGGCGATCATTATTAAAAGCACAGGTCTATGGTCCAACACCGCCAGTATAGTGCCATGCATGTGAGGACAGTATTATAAAATCATTGAATAAAGGCAAGGGTAAATCCGCAGTACCTTAGAACTCACGCCTATGTCCCCTTTCTTTGGGTCTTAATATCAAAAAAATAAAGGGCTGGCTCCAAAGCGCTTCCCTAGTACTCAAACCCACGTTCCGCCATTTTCAAGGAAATGAAGATTTCTACCACAAAAAACTCCTATTTGGGGAGCGTTATCACTTTTGCTTTTTCTTTCAGCGGGCTGGGAAGTTTGTTCTTTAGATGGAAGGCTGTTAAGATGTTTCAATTCACCAGGTCTCATAGATTCAACAGCAATTCAAAAAGTTGACCCATTCAAGAATTTCCAGATCTATGCTTGTTATTTCATTTTGCCTTTTACTGCACCCTTAAACCAACTAAATTATATTTAAAATAATAAAAGAAAACAAACTATGGTTTAAATATAAAATTCAAGCAATTTGTACTACTTCAACAAGTTAAAACCACTAATACGAAAAGCCAAGATCTCCCATTTTTTCACAAATCCAATTTTTTCCTTGGGACTTTCAATTGGTGCCTTGCTCCACCACCACAGGTCCACCACCCCTAGGACCGGCGGAAATGACCATACACCACCACCACCCATTTCCTTGAAACACTTTTACTCAACATTAACGTCCCATATTCATATATGAAATGAGGCCGAAACGCACGCAATGCCTATGACAACCGGAGAAGCTCACGGAGGCCACGTCTCCTCTCTCTTTCTTGCGAGCGGTTACCAATGAACCAACCACGACGCCCAACGCCGTAGCCATAAAAACTGAACAATGATGCCACCATGTAAATAGCAAAAGAAAGCATATAATAAAAAAAAAAAAACGAAACAAATGCGAAACGAAAGTAAACATCGATTACCATGGGTTGAAAGAGAGAGAGAGAGAGTACCTCCCGGTCCAAAATTTACATTTCCAAATTCCAGTATATCTATGCTAAATGGAAAAACAAAAAACAATGGCCCACGACCACATTAAAGTCAAAGTATGGTGTCTTTTCTGCAACCACCAAGTCGCAACACAAGGAGAACCCAGAACAACAAAAGAGAGCTTTAATATTGTGGGGACCTAACACCAAGTTAGCGAGACAAAGAAAGTGAAGTTAGGCCTGGACATCTTCGTGTCCGATGCCTGATACATCGACGGCTGGGGTAGCAGCAGCCACAGGGCAAGGGGTAGAGATGGCCCAAATGTAGCCGAAAGGGTCCTTCACCTTCCCGTATCGGCCAGCACCGCATGGGGTATCAGAAACCTCGGCCTCCACAGTGGCACCCGCTTTCACAGCTTTTGCAATGGCGCCCTCCATATCCTCAGTCTCCAGCCACATTATAAGGGAAGTGCCCCCAAGAGTGGCATTAGACTTAACCCTATCATTATTAAGAAATCAATTAATCAGCAATATGATTAATAATTAAACGACCATTAGAAAAACAAAGATAAATCACGCAAGCCACAAAATATAAAACTTTTTATAGTACATTTCCTATTAATAAATAGTTGCCAAAAAATAGAGAGCTTCAAGAATAACGTGATCCCTTATACAGTTGAAAATATCTGAAGCAATAATAGTAATAATGATCTATAAAGATCTATAAAGGGCCAACCAGAATCATGTGATGCAAATAATATCTTATCCTGCACAAAATGAAGGGGTATGGTGGAGATACGCTTACAAAGCGGAAAAATAAATTAATATTACAGAGGGAGGATAAAGAAACATGAGAAGTGGAGTCAAGAGTGAGACAGAGAGGCGTTTTTTGTTTTGGAACAATCCCAGAAAATACATTAAAAGTGATCACCAATCAATATTAGATTTAAATAAGTTAATAACCAATTAATATAGCATAAAAGAGAGATTATTAAAGGCAGAGTAATAGAAGAAGCAGGAGGGCCTTTAGAAGATAGGGAACCAAACCCTATCCAGAAAACAAACACAAAAGAAACCTTCTATGCCAGACAGAACCATCCAAATATAAAATATCTTTTAAGAAAATCATAAAAACACAAAATATAACAGAAGAAATGCATGCAAACTTACTTTCAAATAAAAACACAAAATATAACAGAAGAAATGCATGCAAACTTACTTTCAAATAACCAAATCTATCGCCATGCCACCATTGCTATATACAAGGGAAATTGATGAAAGAAAACGCGAAAAAACCCAAATCACAGGGATTGGGAAAAAACAACAAGGAACCATTTCCCATTAAAAGCATTCAAATACTTGTACAAGTAGCATCACAAAAGAGAGAAAATATAGCAAACCACCATGCATGACATTAGGCATCAATCGCTCTAGGAACATAGGAATCATCAAAGCACAAGGAAAGCAAAAAGCACAAGATCCCAAAGTAAACAGTCAAAACATGCATATCCAACTACACAAATGATATTGCCAACAAGAATTCGATGGAAAAGCCATAAATCACTCTCAAGAGCTGAATAAATCAAGTAAAATGCTCTTTAAGCCATAAAAAATGAACAACTAATGGCTTTCGCCTAGCAAATAGGGAAGCAAAGCAACCAAACTTAGAGCATAATAGTAATGGAGATACATAAAATCTCTTTCAACTATAGCCCAAAATATATAATGCTAGCCAAAAATATATACACCTAGAAAACCAGTAAAGCCCTCTTCATACATCACCAGAATACTAAACCCAAAATATCTCAAAACATAGATGAACTCATCTGAATATTACAGAAAGATCATGAAACCTAAAATGAAAAGGAAATAACATCTTAATACAAAAAAAAACCAAAAGAAAAGGAACGAGAAATACAACCGAAAACACAAAAGCCCGCATGTTTATTATAAATAACCCATTTATAGAGCTCAAACACTGTAAAGGTGCTGCATCCCCATAGTAAACAAGCCATTCCTAACAGTTCAAAGCTCAAAAGCACACCCATCTCCAACACAAGGAAATCACCCATGAAAGTTCACACCCTCAAAGAAAAAAAAGGTAAAGGCACTCACCCGGCATCTTCAGTTTCATCAGACACAAAGAGCTCAGCGGGTCCGAGCTTCAGGTGAGCGTAGGCAAGAAGAGGGAGGTCCTGATCCGCCTTTCTCTTGGGATGAACAGACCTCTCCAACTCCTCAGCACCAAATGCGTCCTTGTAAAACTTTACGGCATCACAGGCCATGGGGGCCGGCACAATTAAAAAGGGTTTCAGGCCATTAAAGCCTACGGCCTTTGAACCACCGTTCTCTGAACCTCCATTCTGACAACCAGCAACGACCTCTTGAGCAGCAGCCATTGATAAGCAGGCTAAAAACCAGAGAAAATACAAAGGAGAAGACGAAGACTTGACAGAGGGTGGAAAGCGTGAAACCCTAACCTGCTATTATATAGGCGAGTAGCAGAGGTATTTATTTATTTATTATTTTTCTTTTTAAATTGTTTTTGTTTTTGGAAAAAAATAAGTGGGGGGCTATGATAGAGAGACGCGTGTCTAAATGTGTCATTTGAACGATTAGGATCGGAGGATGGAGCTGCAGCCACCTGATCAACGTACATTCAAATTAAAGGGCACACAAAAATATCCTGTCAGAGAGTGAGAACTTTGCCCTTGTAATTTACAGAATACCAGGCTCATCCAAGTGTTGCGAGTCAGCTTAAAAATCGGATGGATAGGGAAACATCGGAGACTTGTATTCAAACGGTCATCGGAGGAGGAGGTAAGGTGTCACTTTTAATTGGCTTTACAAGGTGCGGTGTCTAACGAAAAAAATTAGTCTTCCTCCTAAATTTTGAAGAGAAGACATTTTTGCCCTTTTGTTCATATATAACGCCCAAATGAAGGTATAGTTTTTAGGGATTGTATTATTAATTTTTTATACAAGTAGAGCACAATTGTTGTTAGCTATCAAATTTTAAATTGAAGGGCTTGGGCTGTGACAAAAATTAGAGAATTTTTTTTTAAGTTTAGTCCATAACATATTTACAACAATCCAATTTGAATTTTTGCGAACTAAAATTATTGTAACCTCCATAGAGGTTCAAAGCAAAATATAAGAGAATTTGCTTTCAGGGAACCTCAAAATTGCCTAATTCACTCTGTGTTATGTTTTATTTTTTACTGTGCTCATCAATAAACTAATCCAACTCATAATTTGCAAAGGACTGACAAGGCAAACCAAAATGAGGCTTAATCTTTTCCCTTTTTTTGACTCAATAGGGAGTAGATTCCTTACCTAAGTACTGATAGGAATCGAGCCTAAGATCGTTGGGAACTTTCCTATCCAACATCAATGCCCTTAATAGATGCTTAGAGGGTGACCAAGTCGCACGTTGCACTTCTCTCTATACATGCATGTCCCAACAAGACATGAGTTGATTGGTTAAACAACGATGGATAACAAAACCCACACAAGGAATGTAGGAGAGCATGAATGTCATTTAAATATTTGTTGAGCAGAAAGACTTTTGAATTAGGGCCTAGGCCTTTCTTTTTGGAAGCATCGGCGTGGTCTGTGGAAAACATGTCCAATCCTTTTCCCTAATATTAAATTTGGGCCGATTGGCCCATTACCTCCTCCTGTCTCGGATATCAAAGTGCGGGCGGGCTCCACTTAATCCCAGCTGAGGCAGTTGGGGTTGTGGGCCCAAGATGAGCCAATAACTTTTTGCAGCGTGGTGATTGCCCAACATGGATTGATCCACGTGGCAGTATGCCCGGCGAACGAGGAGCTCGCTGGATTTGTTGGTTGCCATGCGGCAAGGCTCCAGGTAAATTACACGACCGAGGAAGGGTAGTGGAGAAATATTGGAAAATAGTCAAGGGCTAGTTCGGCATTCGTGAAATAGAAGAAGCACAGAGGGTGTGGACGTAATATCAGAGAAAGTTTGAGGGCTAATTGGAATACACCCGAGGAACCCTATCGGGGTTGGGGATCGTCACGTTAGTGAGTTGAGAGCCAGGTTGGACCCAAGAATTTGATTATGACCCATAGAGATGCTCACCGTCTCATCAATAGGTCGGACGGTGATGGAGAGCAGTTTATATAAGGTCCTGGCTTTTTGGGAAGGTAAAATAAAACCGCACCTCAAATCGTTGTTCCGAAAGTATTTTAGGAACCAAAAATATCTATGATGGTTTTAAAATGAATTTTCAATACTAACATGAAATATGATTGAAAAAATTGTACAGATTTTACATATCTATAAACACTTCTTTTTATGGCGAAATGAATAATTTAAATAATATGTTATAATATACATTAGTTTTAGGGCTCTATGAGTTTTGAGGCCAAGGCTTTTGCTTATTTTGATAGAGCTACTGATATCAATACATTATGCGTCTATTAAAGTTGTCAAAATTATTCAATTGTATGTCCACTCCCCTCACATCGCCGTGCAAGCATTTCAGCCGACCATGATGATCATCGTGATATTCCGTTTTTATAATGTTCATGGCCATTATGATCATAATTTTGCCATTACCGTATAGGTTATTATACCTATCCAACGAATATATTTGACAAATGGCATACTACTCATATGAGGTCTCCCCTAGCTTTTTCCATGACCAGATAATAATGGACATGGCCAATCCTAAACAACAAATGATCTCCACCACTGATGTTCCTGAGAATAGCCAATAGAGATCACAATAAAATCAAGCTCCCAAAAACCATAATCAGATATAGCAACCGATATTGTGGCACCGGGTCAAGCCCGTGACACTATAGTGACCACTACCCGTATATGGTCACATTATACACAAGGATATTTTCAAATTAAAATTGCTGCCTCATACGGTTTTAAACTTCCAGTTAGAAACAATGTTGGATGTGTGATAAAAATAAATTGGGTCCATTAGGAAAATTCATCAAATTGTACCCAAGATTTGAACCATTTAACATTTCAATTTCTTTTTCTTTTTTTTTTATCTAGTTTCTAAAATCACGTCATTTTTCTTATCCACATTCAAATAGCTTGTCAAAGGACACATCATCTTGGGTCATAATGGCTTGACATTGTTGATATATGTTAGATAATTGGTTTCCATTTGGTAATTTTGTTATTTAGTTATTTTAAAAATATATATTTTGATATAGATTGTAGGAAAAATATCTTCATTTTCAACTTTCATTTCTTTTTAACCCCCCAAATAACTTTATCTATATTTATTCCAACGTTTAACCTAAACAAATTAAAAAAGACATTGTTTTTTCTAATTCTCTCTCCCTCACATATTTCAATCTCTCTCCTCACGTGTTTCTCTCTCTAGAGTTCTTCCTCTCTCTTTCTACAACCTATTTCTTTCCAGCTCAACAATGGTGGAAGCCGGGAGATTGTAGAGAAAATGGGCCACCTTTTCCGGCTAGGTCCCGCAATCTCCTTTCCCAGAGATGAATGCATAGAGATCACCGGAAAAGTGTTCGAAAAAAGAGACGTGGTTTCTTTTCCGGCTTTAGTTGCATTTTCTGTTGAACGGGTCAGAGGGAGGGTGTAGCTTTCCGGTGAGTAAGTACTGGGGGAGGTGTAGTATTTCGATGAGCAGGTGGTGTAGTTTCACGGTGGGTTGGTGAGGGGGGAGGTGTGTTTTCTGGCAAGTTGATGTTGCAGGAGGTCTAATTTTTCGGCAAGTAAGTGAGGGGGAGGTATAATTTTCAAGCAATTGGGTGGAGTTTTCTGGGGAGAAACAGGATTGAGGAGAGAGAGGGAAAACGAAGCTATCTAAGCCATGGATCATTAGTTAACCTTGCATGAAAGTCTTGTAACAGTAATCGGCAGATGAGTTGAGAGCATCAGAGAGCCACAAAGGTTTTTTGGTTCTAAAACTCTACTAGGTATTCCAAACCCATTAGGACATGAAAAATACATGGAAACCAGATAAAACATCTCAGAATCAGAGACCCTATCAAGACCCAATTCATAGTTTTGTTCATCTGATCCCCCAAAGAACAAATGACGAAGCTCCAACACCCTCTTCCTCATCTTTTGTTGGATCTCTTTTTCATTACAAAGATCCAACCTATTCTCTGAAACTACGTCTTTTTCTTTGGGTTCTTTGCAGTAGCCATCTCCCCATCCAAGAACCAACTCACCAAATGTTGAGCTTGAAAATTGCCAGATGTTTTATCAGTTGTTCCCTGACTCTAAAGAGTTAGGGGAGATAGAGAGAGAGAGAGAGAGAGAGAGAGAGGTAGGG